CAAACACTGCCAATTTGTCTCTCAGTGCTTTCAAGGCTACTTCTTCTTTCGTCTTGTCCTTGGTTCTTTATTGAAAGCCATTAATTTGACTTTGAAGACCTGAATATCAGCCATTTGCATTTGTTGCTTATAACTCATTTAAAACTTCTTGATTACTCTTTTGCCAATTACTGGCTCTTCTAGGGCCACTATGTTTGGCCTCATCTGACTAAACATTTCAGTGAGTGCATCCACTGAAAATGGCTCTTCACTCTATGCGACAATTTGAGTTTCTTCTCCATCTTGGACTACTCTGACAGGTCCATAATTTCCTTCGTACATAACCCCTTCTACTGTGTTTGCTTCTGCGACAAAAGGTCTATGATCGACCTGCACCACTTTTGCTTTGCCTTTGTCATTCCAAAAAACCAGGCATCGATGGAGCGATAAGGGTATACAGCGGCTTCCGTGTATCCAATCTCTTCCTAATAACACGTTGTAACTAGTGGGACCATCTATTACAAAGAAGACTGTGGTCCTAGTAGTTGTTCCTATAGTTATGTCCAATGGCATAACCCTTTTAGTTGAAGTTGCTCCTCCATTGAAACTTGTCAGGATGACTTTCGTTGGGATCATATCACCTTCTGTCTTTGCGAATTTCCTCATCATCCTAGATGGAATGGTGTTTATAGCTACTCCATTATCGACAAGCACTTTTGCCACATGTATGCCGTTAACTAGAGCTTTAACGTACAATGGCCTCAAGTGTTTGGTCAATTTCATGGCTGGTCGCTTAAAAATAACCTTTTTCGGCAGCATCTATTTTCACTTCTTGCTTGTCTTCTATCGAGTTACCCTTTTGTGATAAGTCAACGTGCAGCATATCGCACTGAGCTTCTGTCTCCTGAATTTCCTTTTTACTATTTTCTAATGCTTCTTCTTCAGTTACCCAACCTGTGGGAGGGGGCATTATTCTTGGAGGTGATCCATACTTTTCAGAGCGAGGCACTCTCTTCTTCTTTTTGGGCATCCCGTACAGCACGTAATAATCAAAAGAACGCTCAGATGGTTCTCTCAATAAGTCTACTTCACGAACTCCCTCTCGATGTAGTTGCATCAACAGAGTATTGAACGATACTCCTCTTCTTCTCCTTTCCGCTTCCAGATCGATTTCCTCTTCGATGTCTGTCATACCATCATCTTCTTTACCATTGTAGGCCTCTCTAGAAGTTTGGCCTTCTTCATATTCCAGCATGCATGCTTCCTCTTCGTTATCCTTTTTTTCTTCTTCTCCTTTCTCTTTATTCTTGAACTCATTGGCTAGTAAATAGATATTAGCCACGACAAGAGGTAATGTACCAAATTGAATAGTAAGGGGCTGATCTGGATCTTCTCCATTCCTTTTGTCTTGCTCAAACTTCAACCTCCCAGAAGAAATCTCTGACAATTCTTCCATAGGTTCGCCTGTACCAGTCTCTTCACTGTCTTTAAGAACATTCTGATTGGCAACCTCAAGTAGTCTAGGTGCCTTAGGACGCAACATTTCCTATTGTTGCATCATCATTCGTCCGTAGTTTCGTTGAAAACGCCTTTGTTGGATTCTAGTCATCTCGTTGAAGGGTATTACCCTTCCAGCCTCATACTGGAACGAATGCCATACATTTGGTTGGCAAGGTTACGATCTGAATATTTTTCCATTATTTACTGGCCTGAACTGCCTCTCAAAAGGCGATTCCTTATAGAACGATGTACCTCGCCCTCTACCATGCTGAGCGTTTGGGAAAAAAACTAGGGCGATGGTGATGCTGCCATGTCCCTGGCTTTTCTGCATTTGCACTCACTTCTTTTTTACATCTTGTACATAGGACGTCTTCGTCCTCTTTGGGCTCCTTCCCTTTGATACCTTCAAAGACTTGGGATGTGGTCCATGATCTTCTTCTCCATCATCTATAACCAAATTGAATTTTAGCAATTTGTTTTTGAAACTAGACGTCACCATGTTCACTCCAAGTGGCTGTGAAAAAGGATTTTCATCCACTGCCATCTTCCTCTTATCCTCCAACGTAATTCGTCCTGATTCAATGGCATCCTGTAACACATGACGAAAAACCAAACAGTTGTTAGTCAAATGTGACCATGCATTATGCCACTTACAATATTTTTTACCCTTAACTTGTTCAGGGCTTGGCAATTTATGTTTATCACTCAGCTTTATCTGCTTATCCTTATATAATTTATCAAATATAATGCCAGCTTTGGTTATATCGAACGAGAACGTTCTAGTCTTTATGTTTTCATCTTTTATAGGCTTATCCTTGCCCGACGGTCTAGGCTTAGCCATTATAGGACAAGTATATGTGTCTCCTTTAACTAATTCGGCCAAACACATTTCGGTTTGATCGTAATACTCGTCATTAATGGTATGACCATCAAAATTTGGATCTCTATAATAAGTCCCCTTACTAGAATTTTCCATTTGTTTTTCTTCTCTTATCAATCGTTCATACCTAATCACATTCGTGCTCAATTGGAAAAGATCAAGAAATTCCTTGTCTTGGAATTTCTTTTTCAAATCAAAGCTTAAGCAACCTTGAGCGATTTTGACAAACTCCTTTTTGGGCAAAGGTATAAAACATTTACTTCTTGCCGTCTTGAACCTTTGAAGGAAACCTTCTGCCTATTCGTTTGGCATTTGACGTAGATTCGCCAAATTGGCCAAAGTGACTTCAGAGTCAGTCTTATAAAACTGAGCATGGAATAATTGCTCCAATTGTTGCCATGTTTGGACAGAGTTTGCTAGCAAATTGATGAACCAGGAGAAGGCTATTCCTGTTAATGAACTAGGGAACAGCCTCATTTTATGGTAATCAGTTACGTCACCACTTTGCAGTGTGAATCGCCCTATGTGTTCTAGAGTAGACATCTCTCCTAAATCGGTAAACAGTGAGAATTCTGGCACTTTATACCCTCTAGGTCATGGATATGCTTGGTCTATCCAATCAGGATATGGCTATGTGTAAGTCGGCCTAATGACAGGACATACTCCAAAATTCATCTGGTCCTGTACGATTTCCATAATCTGATTCCTCAACATGACGTTGGGGTCATATGGAATTCCTACAGGTTGGTTGACCGGTTGATTTACTTGAGGCCTGATGTTTGGTCCTTGGTTGGCAACAAAGTTGCCATGATTTGGGCCATTGTTACCATTAGCCTGAACATTTATACTATCATTAGCACGTGGGGTATTCTGCCCATTATTTAGGACATTATCTCTTACATTTGGATTACCCCCCAAGTTAGATATACCAATGCCACTATTCTGATTTGGTATTACACCACCTCCCTGGTTTGAAGTAGAAGGGTCAAAAGGTGGTATTATCCCTTGATTTAAACTTAGGACTGAGGGATTATATCCCACAATTGTCCTAGTTTGAAAGTGGTTTGCAAGAGGCACAACTGGCTGACAAATTTGGCCTACTAACTTATTCATTATTTCGTTCAAAATATTCAGTTGTTTGGCCATGTTGTCATAATGTGCATTCCCATTTTGGGTAAATCTTTCCATATTATTAATATTTCGTAGATTTACCTGTTCAACGACATCTTGTGTGAGTTCTCCGAGTAATGCACGCATGGTTCAAGGACTCAACATTGTCATTGGTTCGTAACGGCTATGATTACTCTGATCCTGTCCATCTGTTCGTGGAGAGCTATGCTGCTCCTCATATCGCTCGATTACAGATTGGACTCCTCTCTGGCTTGTTGCTTCCTTATCGGATTTCTGAGGCATATTGTTTCACCTTTTGTATCTTCAATACCAAACACCAATATCCCACTGGGCGTGCCAAATTGTTTCGCGCGGGTAGTCGCTAACAATTAAAAAGAGATAAGACGATTGTGTAAGGAACAAATCTCTTGAGACAAAGTCCCAAAAAAGGATGTTTTATTGGCGATGACTTTACAATTGGAACTTAAACAGAATGCCTCCAAGGGGCGCAAGCACACGAGTATTGAAAGAAATATTTAAGTTTAAACTAAAAAATTGAAATTACATATTCTCTGTTTGAGAGCGTTTGATTCGGGGTCCTTTGCTCTATGTCTTTTCTTCCTTTTATATTCCCTTGATGATCTCTTCGTGATCAACCGCTTAGAAACCGCTTAATTGCTTTATAACTGCCCACTTTCTTCATGGTGGCCAACTTATCGTGGAACTGCCGTCCCTAACTGCTGCCACTACTCTTTATTGTTCAACCGTCTTCAACTAAACATCCTTGAATCGTGGAACGTGATAAGATTACTTAATAACAGTTTCGATAACTGCACTTTTGGATAACCATAACATCTTATATTTGCTAAGTTCCTGGGCGATTCGAAAGTTTGGACGAGAATAGGGTCATAACCCCGGGCGACTGCAAGACACTTCATTTACTCAGATCTTGGGCGTCTTGCAAGTTTGGGCGATGGTGTTACCGCATTCGTGGACTTCCATTGCATTCATTAATAACTCTATTTGGGTCTTTATCCTAAATTGTCCAGTTAGGCTTCATTCTTTGGGCTATTCGATTACGACTGCACTTTTAGCGTGTCAACAATGGGTTTTTGCGATGTTCTCATTCTTTTGTTTGTAAATATGTGGTTTGTATGATACGGGGTATCGGGTACCATATTAGTATGATTTTATCTTTTTATACTCCCAAAATTCTTTCTTTCCATATGTCTGAGTTCCAAGTGCTGTCGAATTGGAATTCCAACAGCCAGGACCACAATTCCTCAGCAGAGGTTTTTGGCAATTTGTTTTGTCGGGTTGTGGCGTTGAATATTTGCTCAGCAAGGACTTTTGGGTAACATAATTGACATTGACTTGGCTTCTTTATTTCATTATGCAACTTAAGGTGTAGTGTTTGTTTCTTTGAAAAACATCAAAGATTGTGTAGTTCTTGGTAAATTCAAAAGTAAGAAAACAACAATATCCATTTAGTGTCTGTTAAGAAACGTAAAGATATAGTCTTCTTATTCATTTGAAAATCTTAAGGCTTTTAATGTAATGATGTTTCTTATGTTATATATTTGTTAATTTAATTTATCTGCTAATCATAAGAGAGATTGAATTAAGATTTACATTTTTGCATTTTATATCTTCATATGTGCAATACATTGTTTATTTTTTCTTTTTCTTGTTTAGGAACATTTTCAAAAGCTGAGAATCAAGGACGTTGATTTCATCTCAACCCACATCAAAACAGGTGATTTGTTATCGTCCCATATTTCAATCTCTGATGTATTCTTCCATCGGCAAAAAAAGAATGAATTCTTGTACAATTCTAAAGAATTCCAAGTTGAAACTTTTATGGAGAAAGTCCAAATAAACTCAGTCATTTACTATTTTTTTTTCTATTCTTAGATTCCCATCTGCATTCCATCTGGATTCCTTTCAGTTTCCTTATAGATGTGTACGATTTTACCAGTGATTGCTGTCAGAATTCTTAACTATTTCTTGTACCTTCGAGTTCTTTTTTTATGTGTTGGTGTGAAGTTCTGCGAAACCTTCCAAAAAAACTAGAACATTTGCATAGAAATTGGAAATTGGTGACCTGAAGTACGTGAATTTCATATTTGTGTTGATTTAGGGTAATTTCTCTATTGTCTTAAACTTGTACGAGAATCAATTTTTGATTTAAACCGTTTTTCGTTTCAATTATCGATCATAATTTTCATGCTTAATTCATACAACAAAAACGATGATCAGCACACGCTAACATGAAGTCCTTTTCCGTTTTCATAATTAACAGGTACTTTTTAGGGCAAAGATTATTCAAAAATTGCAATTCTCAACACATCCTATGAGGTCAATTCTCTTAATACTACCGTCATATGTTATATAAATACTGTTTATAGTCATGGGTTTTTTAGTGCATTTGCTCACTACTAATTAATGACGAATGCGCAAAGTAATAGGACAAATTTCATTCCTTCACATTATCTCCAACATATTTTCGCTGCTGAATTCTCCGACTCTTCATTTTCACAGTTCATTTGGTGGGTGAGCAAAACAAGTTTACATTTTGACTTTTCAGCCCCAAATATTTATATATGATTTTCATTCAATTTCAAGCTGCCAACAATCTGAAATGACAAAGACTTAGGGCATAGAAATTGAGTTCAATTTCCTGTTGTACATGGAATTTGTTTGTTCAATAACCATTGATTCTTTTACGACTTTCTGTTGTGTAGATTGTTCGATTTTGTTTAAGAAAATGAGAAGTAATTTTTAGTTGACTTGTACAATTACAATTGTTTTCCAAGGGAAAAGTGAACAATTATTAATATCACTTATATTTTGATTTTATTTAAATAATTAACATTTGAATTTCGTACATTATGGAATCGGCGGTTTATCCATTCCTATTAAATCTCATACGAAATAGCTTAATCTCTCTCCTACAGGACATCTTGACGTGTGTAAATAATTGCATATCCTCCCTTTCCCCGATTTCACTCTCAATGAGGGTACAATAGAGAAAAGAATTTCCTTTAGTTTAGAGCTTGAATCACAATATCCTTGAGACGAAGAGTCGTTTAAATAACTTTTGAAAACCCACTTTGTAGAAGGCAGGTAAGAGTCTCCCATGTACTTTCATAAATTTGATTATTCTCATGTAGAGTTCACCTCTTCTTTATTAGTTCATTTCCCAAAAAATAAGCCAACACATTCCATTGATCCATTATATAGAGCAGATTATCTATGTACTCACAAAGTTGTACGAGCTTGGAATTCAAGAAAAGCAAGTTGTCGCTTATGAGACGGCTGAGATGGAGTCAAGATTTTTGATTAAGTTTTACAATTAAATTTTTTTACCATTATTTGTATAGACTTGATGCAAAAATACATATGATGTTAATGATATTGCATGACTGATGATTTAGGTTCTTCATTTAGAATTTATTCTTAGATGTGAAAGTGTCTATAAAATGATTTGAGGGATAAATCTTGATGGGTTCTTGATTATTTGGTGAAATTACTGCTAATTATTTGTTTATTTATGTGCTTTCACTGATCTTGTTTCGTGTATTCTATGTTGTAGGCTTGTAGTTATTCTTATTTATCCTCTATAAGCAGGGCTTCTCCTTGTACTGACCATATTTAAGTACTATATGATAGCATGCTTTGTTGAAATTTTGGAGCCTATAACTTAGGCTTCACAATTTTTCTATGGTGTCAGACAAATTTTTTTCCAAATTGTTGTAGCAATTGGTGACTAAAACAATGTGAATGGAGAAACTTTCAACCATGCAGCCGTAATTGTTTTGGAAAAAAATTTTGCCATGCATTTAATGCAAGGCAACTTTGTTGAAATTGATGGACATGCATTTAATGAGGATGGTGAGAATTTCTCTATAAATTAGAGGCCAAAGCAGGTGCAAAAATGGAGAGCAAAAGAGAAGTGCAAGAAAATCGTGTAGAGTGAAAACACGAGAGATAGTGAGCAAAACACAAAGTGAGAAGCAGTTAGGCTTTTGTTTGTGTAGAAAATTAACGAGAGAAAATTAAGAGATTGTCTTTGCGTAGGCAAATAAAATACAGAGAGTGTATTTGTTGTATTCCTTTTATTCTCTTGTTGATACAGTAAAAGAATTGGTGTGGGTTTGTGGACGTAGGCACGATTGCCGAACCACGTAAATTATTTTTTGCGTCCCACTGATCCTGACGGAATTAGTAGCGGTCTAATTTCCTAACAACTGGTATCAGAGCTCCAGAATTTAAGTGGGAGGAATGGCAACAGACGAGAAGATATCCAAAATCGATAAGTTTGATGGCACAAACTTTGGATTTTGGAAGATGCAAATGGAGGACTATTTGTACCAGAAGGACCTGTAAAAACCACTTCACGTAAAGTCGGAGGACTTGACCGACGACGAGTGGGAATTACTTGACCAAAAGGCTCTTGGCGCAATAAGGCTGACATTATCAAAGTCAGTCGCTTTCAACATAAAAAATGAGAAGACGACGGCATCTCTCATGGCGGCCCTGTCTAGCATGTATGAACAACCATCTGCAGCAAACAAAGTTCATTTAATCAAAAAACTATTTACTATGAAAATGGCAAAAGGCGAAAGATTTGGAGAACATCTAAGTGTGTTCAATGAAGTGAGGACCAGTTAAACACAGTCGAAATCACGTTCATTTATGAGGTTCGAGCTTTATTGATTCTCGGGCAGTTGCCTGAGAGTTGGAATGGCACAGTTACAACAATTAGTAGCTCTGCCGGAAAGTCCAAATTGAAATTTGAAGATGTCGTGAGTATGATCCTGACCGAGGAAATACGAAGACAGTCAGAAGGTGTTTCCACTTCTGGAGCATCTTTAAACGTGGAGAGCAGAGGCAGAAGTTCAAACAGAGGTAAAGGGCATTACAGGAGCGAATCAAGTTTTGGTAGATCAAAATCCAGAAATCCAAAGAATTCCAACAAATCAAAAGTTGTTGAATGTTGGAATTGTGGCAAGATCGGACGCTACAAAAATCAGTGTCAAGTTTCCAAAAAAGAAAATGAAAACAAAATTAAGGCCAATGTTGTAGCAGAAGAATCTGATGATGTTTTGATATGCTCGTTGGAAAGCAAAGCAGAATACTGGGTAATAGATTTTGGAGCATCTTTTCATGCTACTTCAAATAGAGAACTCTTTACGAGTTATGAGCTAGGCAATCTTGGAAAAGTGTATCTTGGTGATGATCAACCTTGTGATGTAGTCGGCAAAGGCGAAGTACAGATCAAGCTTAATGGATCTGTTTGGAAATTGAAGGATATCAGACACATTCCAGACTTGAGGAAGAACCTGATATCTGTGGGACAACTATCAAATGAGGGTTATGTCACAACCTTCAACGGTGATATTTGGAAGGTTTCCAGGGGTGCAATGACTATAGCATGAGGCAAGAAAAGTGGTACTCTTTACACCACAATGAGTGCTTGCGGAATAATTGCAGTTGCTGATTCAAATGAAGATTCGAATCTATGGCACTAGAGACTGGGGCATATGAGTCAGAAAGGAATCAAGTACATGCATGACAAAGGGAAACTACTAGGAATTCAATCTATTGATGTAGACCTATGTGAGAGTTGCATCTTTGGGAAGCATAAGCGGGTGAGTTTCAACAAGTATGGCAGAACTCCGAAGCAGGAAAAGCTAGAGTTAGTCCACACGGATGTCTGGGGGCTAGCTGCAGTTCCATCTATTGGCGGAAAGTCTTATTTTGTGACTTTCATCGATGATCACTCCAGAAAAGTATGGGTCTACTTCTTGAGACACAAATCTGAAGTGTTCGAGATGTTCAAGAAGTGGAAAGCTATGGTGGAAAATGAAACAGGCTTGCAAGTAAAGAAATTGAGATCAGGTAATGGCGGAGAGTATGAACATGCTGATTTCAAAAAGTTTTGTTACCAGAGTGGTATCAAACTAGAAAGGAAATTGCCAGAAACACCGCAACAAAATGGTGTGGCCGAACGAATGAACCGGACGTTGACAGAGAGAGCCAGAAGCATGCGGTTACATGCTGGCTTGCCTAAACAATTTTGCGCTGAAGCTATCAACACAGCAGCATACTTAATCAATCGCGGGCCATCAGTGCCTTTGGAGTACAGGATACCGGAGGAAGTATGGAGCGAAAAAGAAATAAAACTTTCTCATTTGAAAGTTTTTGGTTGTGTCGCATATGTACATATTAGTGATCAAGCTAGGGGTAAGCTTGACCCCAAATCACTAAAGTGTACATTCATTGGATATGGTGGAGATAAGTTCGGGTATCGCTTTTGGGATGATAACAAAAAGGTCATCAGAAGTCGGGATGTCATATTCAATGAAAGGGTGATGTACAAGGATAGAGATACAGCGCAGTCTAATGACATACATGATAATCCAACATATGTTGAGTTGGATGATACTCCAAGTAGTAGTATGTCAAAGCAGACAGATGAAAGTCCTCAGCTAGAGGAAGATGTTGCGGAGACTTTACCTCCAACTCCTATTCCTAGAAGATCTTCCTGACCACATGTTCCAAATAGAAAGTACATAAATTATTTGTTACTTACTGATGCTGGTGAACTTGAATGCTATGATGAAGCATGTCAGGGAGAGGATGCAATTAAGTGGGAGCTTGCAATGAAAGATGAGATAAAGTCTCTTATCTCTAATCAAATGTGGGAGCTAGTTGAGTTGCCCGCAGAAAAGAAAGCTCTACACAATTAATGGGTCTATCGAGTCAAGGAGGAACATGACGGATCAAAGAGATACAAGGCGAGATTGGTGGTCAAAGGCTTTCAACAGAAAGAAGGAATGACTACACAGAGATTTATTCTCCAGTAGTAAAGCTGACAACGATTTGATCAGTCTTAAGTATTGTTGCAGCAGAGGGGTTGCACTTAGAGCAGTTAGATGTGAAAACTGCCTTTCTCCATGGTAACCTAGAGGAGGAGATATATATGCAGCAACCAGAGGGTTTCTCAATCAAAGGAAAAGAGAAGCTTGTGTGCAAATTGAAGAAAAGCTTGTATGGCTTAAAACAAGCTCCGAGACAGTGGTACAAGAAGTTTAACGGATTTATGCAAAAAAATGGCTACTACAAGTGCAATGCTGACCATTGTTGCTATTTTAAGAGGCTGGAGTCCAGCTACATTATTTTGCTACTTTATGTTGACGACATGTTAGTAGCGGGACCAGACATGAATGAAATCCAGAAATTAAAGAAGCAACTGTCAGCAGAATTCGAAATGAAGGACTTGGGTCCAGTTAAACAAATTCTAGGGATGAGAATTTGTAGGGACAAGCAAAAATGCACTTTGCAGTTATCCCAGGCCAAGTACATTAGTCAAGTTTTGCAGAGGTTCAACATGAACAATGCAAAGGCAGTTAGCACACCATTGGCTAACCATTTCCGTCTACCAAACCACCAGTCTCCAAAAATAGAAGAAGAAAGAAACTTCATGGCTAATATTCCATACGCCTCAGCCATTGGAAGTTTAATGTATGCCATGGTCTGTACAAGATCAGACATTGCTCATGCAGTGGGAGTTGTGAGCAGATTCATGACAAATCCAGGAAAACAGCATTGGGAAGCTGTGAAGTGGATATTGAGATATCTACAGGGTACTGTTGATAAATATTTGTGTTTCAAAAGAGGTGAGTTGGCACTACAAGGCTTTGTAGATGCAGATTTTGCAGGCAAGGTCGATCACAGGAAAAGCACCACCGGTTATGTATTCACAGTTGATACTACTGCAGTGAGTTGGGTTTTCGCAAAAATAGAAGATTGTTGCTTTATCCACCACAGAAGTAGAGTATGTGGCAGTAACCGAAGCTAGCAAAGAGATGATTTGGTTACAAGGTCTGTTGACAGAATTGGGTCTCAAGCAGGAAAAGAATGTTTTGCATAGTGACAGTCAGAGTGCTATACATCTAGCAAAGAATGCAGAATTTCATTCGAGAACGAAGCACATAGGTCTTCGTTATCACTTCATCAGATCTCTCTTAGAAGATGGAGTATTAACATTGGAAAAGATCCAGGGCAGCAGAAACCCAGCTGACATGTTAACCAAGACGGTAACTACGAAAAAACTGGAGTTGTGTTCAACTTCAGTTGGCCTTCTAAAATGAAAACGAGGAAGGTGATCCACACCAATTTTACTAAAAAGGAACTGCTCCCAAGATGTCTCAAGGTGAAGCCACATTAGTCTCCAAGTGGGAGATTGTTGAAATTTTGGAGCCTATAACTTCGGCTTCACAATTTTTCTATGGTGTCAGACAAATTTTTTTCCAAA